TTTGACTTTTTTTCTGTAAAATGTCCGATCTTTAAACTGTTTTAAAGGTTTTTAACATAAAATATATATGAAGCCGTGTATTTTTAATGAAACAGTAAAAGATATTACTAATATAACAAATGTATTTTAGAAAACTTTTTTAATAGAACACTAAAAGATATTACAACGTTATTGTATTTGAAACTTGTAATATTTGTTATAGTTTTAAACACTGTTTTGTAAAACGTAAGTCTTTTAAAAAATAATGGTTTAGGAAAACAGTTTTCTTTAATGAAAAAACCCACTTGTTTGACTTTTTTCTGTAAAATGGCCGTTCTTTGACTTTTTAATGCATTTTTAAACTGTTTTAAAGGTTTTTAACATAAAATATATATGAATCCGTGTATTTTTAATGAAACACTAAAATATATTACTAATATAACAAATGTATTTTAGAAAACTTTTTTAGTAGAACACTAAAAGATATTACAACGTTATTGTATTTGAAACTTGTAATATTTGTTATAGTTTTAAACACTGTATTGTAAAACGTAAGTCTTTTAAAAAATAATGGTTTAGGAAAACAGTTTTCTTTAATGAAAAACCCACTTGTTTGAATTTTTTCTGTAAAATGGCCGATCTTTGACTTTTTAATGCATTTTTAAACTGTTTTAAAGGTTTTTAACATAAAATATATACGAAGCAGTGTATTTTAATGAAACACTAAAAGATATTACTAATATAACAAATGTATTTTAGAAAACTTTTTTAATAGAACACTAAAAGATATTACAACGTTATTGTATTTGAAACTTGTAATATTTGTTATAGTTTTAAATATTGTTTTGTAAAACGTAAGTCTTTTTAAAAATGGTTTAGAAAAACAGTTTTCTTTAATGAAAAACCCACTTGTTTGACTTTTTTCTGTAAAATGTCCGATCTTTGACTTTTTAATGCATTTTTAACTGTTTTAAAGGTTTTTAACATAAAATATATATGAAGCCGTGTATTTTTAATGAAACACTAAAAGATATTACTAATATAACAAATGTATTTTAGAAAACTTTTTTAATAGAATACTAAAAGATACAACGTTATTGTATTTGAAACTTGTAATATTTGTTATAGTTTTAAATATTGTTTGTACAACTTCAAGTCTGTGTAAAAGATTTTTCTTTTAATAAAAATCACTAAACCTATTTGTTTTATGTCGTCCTTAAAGAATGAAAATGTATTGTTTTTCCACCATTTTGTACATTTTTTGGTATTAATGGTTGTAGAATTGGGAGGAGCTACAAGGACGCTCCTCCTCTAATCCTGCGTGAAGAGGCGGGAACTTTCTATTTCCACGCCCATCTTCATCACGTGTTGTGGGAGGGATCTAAGAGGCGGAGCCTGAGTCTGGTCACAGTACAGAGGTTCGAGATGTCATTGCTCTCTCTGACTTCGGCCTGTTAGGACGTGCTTTCTTGGGCTCCCGGGATTACATTTACACAACTTTGAACCGGTTAACTTTTGGAATATCTCTAAAGTTTTGGATATATACCTTTGGGATAATCCTTGCTGTTGGATATACCTTTTGGATAACCGCTGCTGTCGGATATATCTTTGGAGCTGATTAATCTTTAAACGGGATAATTTTGTTCTTCTTTCACCAACAAAACAGAACGTAAGTCAGTTTTTATGTTTTTAAGTTTTGATATCCTTTAATAATTGTTTGATGTAATGTAAATACACACTGTTTTAATATGCATTTTGATAACGTTTATTAATTATTTATTTTTACGTCTAAACAATTTAACATTTTAGTGTTTGAACATCGATAATTATTATTATAATCAATATTATTTAATACTTTTAAACGGTGTGTAATTGTGTAAAAGTACAACTTTTGATCCAAAATGTTATTTTTGTGAATGAAAACTTTTTTAAAACAGATGTTTTATTTAAAAATGGAGTAATTTACTAAATAATGTGTAAAAGGAAAGACCTGTAATGCGTTTTAATGATATAAATTGACTAAATGGTTTTAAACAATGTGTGTAAAAGGACCATTGTTTAATAAAAACTAAAAAACATATAACCTATATCTGTTTTCTGTCATCATTAAAGTTTGAAAATGTATTGTTTTTCCATCATTTTGAACATTATTACATTGAACAAGACAGGTGTAACAGGTGTACAACAGGTGTCCAGTTCGGTACGGGGTCGGATGGGGTTCCGTATCGTGGGAAAATTTTCCCATGATCACATGACCAGTCCAGAAGTGGAGGTGGTGGTGAGGGGTGTTGGTGGGTGGTAAGAGGAGGGGAGACCGTGGGAATTTCCCACGGTCACGCGGTCAGACCGGAAGTGAGCGGGAGGGGTAAAAAAGGGGGCGGGGCTTATTTTTATGAGGGCAATAAATCACTCAAAGTGGCATAAAGTGCCCTTCATTCTCTCTGTTCTGGGCCCTGTTTTATTTTTGTTGTATTTGATCCCTTTGGGAAAGATCATACAAAGGTTCAATGATGTTTCTTTTCACCTATTTGCCGATGATATCCAACTTTACTGCTGCTTCAAGCCATCAGAGATCTGTAAGTTAAACTCCTTGCTTCTTTGTCTTGTGGAAACTAAAAAATGGCTAAGTGAAAACTCCCTGCAGCTAAATGCAGACAAGACAGAAACATTGATCATTGCCCCTGAGGATGTAATCCCTGGGATTAAACAATACTTGGGTGATCTAGGCCAGTCTGCTAAGCCAAGTCTTAGAAATTTGGGAGTTATCCTCGACAAAGACATGTCGTTAGTGCAGCACTGCAAGCAGCTGACGAGAAACTGCTTCTTTCAATTAAGGAAAATCTCGAAACTTAGAAATATGGTTTCAAGAAATGATTTGGAGCTTATCATTCATGCCTTTGTGTCTTCGCGTTTAGACTATTGTAATAGTCTATTTTTATGCCTAAACCAGAAGGAGCTCTCTCGACTGCAATTAGTCCAAAACTCTGCAGCCAGAATTTTAACACGTACAAATAGGAGGTCTCACATATCCCCAATCCTAAAAGAACTTCATTGGTTACCAGTGTCTTATAGGATAAATTTTAAAATTTTGGTTTTAGTTTTCAGAGCTTTACATGGCCAGGCTCCCCCTTATATTAGTGACCTAATTCAGCGTTATGCCCCTGTACGTGCTCTGAGGTCTGTGGATCAGAACCTGCTGACGGTTCCACGCACTCGCTACCGTACTAGAGGTGACCGATCTTTTCAGGCAGTTGCCCCCAGGTTGTGGAATGACCTTCCACCGTCTATGCGCTCCTCTGATTCTGTTGATGTGTTTAAATGCAGACTTAAGACATATTTATTTGTTCAGGCTTTCAATTAGCTACCTGTGGGTTGATATGATCATGTACTGTCTATGTTTTTATTGTGTGTATTTTATGATATAAATTGTTTTTGTTGTAAAGCACTTTGTGGCCCTATACCTGTGAAAGGTGCTATATAAATAAACTTTTACTTACTTTTTACTTACTTACTTATGAGAACGCTCCGCTCCCGCCGTGCCCTCTTCGAGGAGAGTAGTTCGGTGCGTGCTCCCCGTGGTTCTGGTCCCGCTGCTGCCGAGGCACAGAGGCTTCAATCGTGGGGATCGCAGATGGATCTGTCAGCGGGGATGGAGACGGGCTCCGCCCTATCTCTGCCCTTACCTGATAGATCCAGCGCCTCAGATCTGAGTGTGGGAGCACGCGCTGCGGTTTCTCCCACCCGGGCTGAGGCTCCATCACTTCAGCTCCCTGCTAGTGAGGAGCTTATGGTGGTGCTCACTCGAGCTGTAGAAAAACTTAGTATTGAGTGGCCAGTTGAAAGATAGGAGTCTCGCGCTAAAAGCTAATTAGATGAGAGATTTTTGCCCTCGCGAGCTGCAACTCCACGCCGGTGTCTCCCGTTCTTTCTGGATCTCCACACTGAGGTGGCGAGATCATGGAATAGACCGGTGTCAGCCAGAATTTTTACACAACAGACATCTGTGTATTCAAGCATTTCTGGTGCAAAAGATCATGGTTATGGGGCGATGCCTAAAGCTGAGGAGATTTTAGCGAGTCATCTTTCTCCAGATACGGCGTCGTCTTTTAAATCACCGGCGCTGCCCACTAAGCCATTGAGAAATACTTCGGCTTTAGTGGGCAAAGCTTACTCGGCGGCAGGTCAAGCAGCAGCATGCTTACATACTATGTCCATCCTTCAAGTATACCAAGCAGACCTTTTAAAAGACGTTAGTGAGGGGGATGAAATAAGTGCTGATGTCATCAGAGAGTTAAGATATCAGCTGATATCTCTCTCCGTGCCACCAAGGAGATGGCCAGAGCTGTTGGCCGTTCTATGGCAGCTATGGTGGCTACGGAGAGGCACCTTTGGTTGAATTTATCTGATATGAAAGATAAAGATAAATCGATCCTTCTTGACGCCACGCTTTCGACCGCTGGTCTTTTTGGTGACTCTGTAAACTCTGTCATAGAAAGATTTCAAGAGGATAAAAAGCAGGCGGTGGCGCTCAAAAAATTTCTCCCCCTCCGTGTTCATGTCGGAGGCGGGATTTAAAGTCGTATACACCCAAAACAGCTTATTTTTAATCAGGCCCCAAAATGACATTTTCAAATGGTTATAATAAATTAACTATGGGGTATTTTGAGCGGAAACTTCACAAATACATTCTGGGGACACCCAAGACCAATATTACATCTTGTAAAGAGGGGCATAATAGGTGCCCTTTAAAATGATTTCTGAAGTGTTATGTGACACTAAAGACTGGAGTAATGATGCTGAAAATTCAGCTTTGCATCACAGGAATAAATTACCTTTTTTTAACTATATATTCAATAGGAAACAGTTCTTTTAACGTTTAAATATATTTCACAATTTTACTGTATTTTTGAATAAATAAAAGCAGCCTTGGTGAGCATAAGATACTTTTTTCAAAAACATTAAAAAACTATTTATTTTATTTTTTGATGTTAGCTAATTTAGTTTTTTGTTGTTGTTTTTTTAAATACCCAGTTAAATTTACACAGTTTAAAAATTATCACGTGTGTTATTAAAACTCAGTTATTTTATATAACTATGAACTTGGACAACATTTTTAATTCAGCTACCTAGCAGTGTGACTTTCTTTATATATACATGAGAACACTGAACAAAACATAAAACTAAATGTTTATTACTTATATCCACAAACAAAAATAGGCAAATAGTAAACCGAACATCCACCAATCCAAAACAGATTTAGTTCATTATATTCTATATTTTAAATCAATTGAAAATATTATTTTAAAAAGTGATAATGCTCTATAAACCATTTATACAAATAGACTATTTATAAAAATAATTTATACAGTCCTCGAATTTGATTAGTTAAGTGGATTTCAAGATGTTTCATGGTATTCCAGACTCTACGTAGTTGAAGCAGAGCGATTCAAGAACTTTCTTTTCTTTTGCTGGAATTCCTCTTGTGCCTCTTCTGCATTTCATTGACTTCTGCTTTGTTCTGTGACTACTTTGCTCTGTTTTTCTGTTTATCAGCAGTTACTGTTCTAATTTCCTAGATGCTTAAATTATGTTATGAATTACTTATTTTGTTTTCCTTTTTGCACACTCTCACTTTGATTTTCAATTACATGTTGAAACACAACATCAGCCTCCTACATGTTTTACTGAAGAAAGTCTCTCCATTTGCCTACTAACGAAATGAAATTCAAGAGCAATCTTAAACAGTACACACCATTTACATTATTCCCCACGTATTTCCCGTTTGAGCTCCTTTACATATGTGTGGTCCTTTCCATGAACAACCTCCATGATGGCCAAAGCCTGAAACACAAACCATAAATCACTTAGTACTGGCATTTACAGAGTATATATTTTTTACTTTTGTCTGTAATCCTAAAACCTGAAGGAGAATTAGAATTTTCTGTAGTTTTAAAAATGTAAGTTAAAAAAATGTGGACTGCATTTATTTCACGGACCCAAAGCGCTTTACATATTTCCTCGCATTCACCCATTCACTCACTCATTCATTCACCACTGGCGGTGTCAGCCGTACAAAACGCCATCAAGCTCGTCGGGAGCAGCTGGGGTTAGGTGTCTCTCTCACACACACACACGCACACACACACAGCTGGGGTTAGGTGTCTTGCTCATGGACACCTCGACACTTGGTCAGATGGAACTGGGGATTGAACCACCAACCTTCCAGTTTGTAGACAACCTACATGAACCATTGAAAAAATACAAAAATACAACGTCTATCACTGTATTCATAAAAAATATTTTATATAAAATATATATTTTATAAATCAGGTTGAACTCAAAACTGCAATAAAATCAAAGCCATAAATCTAAATAGGTTGTGTTCCAAATTTGAGGTTGATATCTTAAAAAATGAGCTTTCAGTAACAGTTTGTTTGGGCGTAGTAACATATTTTCCCCATTGGGTGCCAGCAAAACCCCACTGGAGCTCACAGTGATTGGATTTGAATTTGCAGTTTTTCTCTCTCAATATTACAAACACACACATGCGAACACACACACATATTTTTTTATAACACACATACTAACCACACTCTGACATCCATACCAACACACCCACACAAATATTGTTGCATAATTTATCCAGTTGGCTCTATAGTATGCCGAAGCAGAAAACAGGAATAAAGCGATATGTGTCTTATAGGCCAAACTTAAAAAAAATGGCACCATCTGATAAAAAATAGTAAAAAATAAAAATTTGAAGCCTTACCATCAGAATGAAAGCCTGTTAACAAAGATTGCATAATTTTATAGTTAACTGAACCGGGGATTAAAAATGGCAGTTTTAATGGGTTTCAATGGGGACTGAGAGGGAGTATTTTTTGTACCTAATGCAAAAAATAATTTTTTTTAAGAAAATGATGGTGAAATAGTAAAATTCCAATAAAAATACACACCTGTGCCAAGTTTTTTGCAGTTAGCTTTAACTCAGGCAAAGTGATCAAAAAAACAAAACTGAAAAGGACAAAAATGTCCATAAGGACGCACAAGGGTTAAGTTCACAGGGCTCCAGACTCAAATTTGAGGGCAGCACCACCTCAAATGAGAACTCACACCGAGTTCTACGGGGGAAAAAAAAAAAAAAATCTGGTAGCACTGGGGCTAACAATAAATCATTAAGCTTAGAGTGTAGGTGAAATTAACTTTAGTTATTATCATTTATAACAGGGTTTCTCAAACTGCAGAGTTTAGCTCCAACCCTGAGCAAGCTCAAGGTCTTCAGGATCACTAGAAAGTCACAGGTAGGTGTGTTTGATCAGGGTTGGAGCTAAACTCTGCTGGACCATCCAGGACCGAGTTTGAGAAACACTGATTTATAATGTCTTAATATTGATTAAATATTAAATTTAATAACATGTAAGGCTGATCTGATCCAAACCTGTATGAATAACAGAGTCTGTATGACTCAACAGAGTCTTTACACTTTTTAAATGCGTCTTGTGTTTCTGGATGCGACCGTTTCCTGACTTCATCTGATGGCTTTGGTTGATGTCTTACATAAAGGCAGACTCTCCTTCTTTAGTTCCCTCTGCCGTTACCCCCCAAGCGTTCGCGGTTCAACTTTTAGCTAAAGTGGTGGAACATTTTCAGTGAAGCTATTGGAGCTTGTCCGTTAGCACTTTTAGAGCTCCAGTCACTGTATGCTTTCTTACATTCTGCTAAATATCTGCTTTTGTTTTCCACAAGAGAAAGTCACACAGGTTTGGAATGACGTAAGGGCCAGTCAGTTTTGGAGGAGCTTGTACCTTTTGAAGGGAACTGATGCCTGTGGACTTCCTGTCCAGAACGATGTAGAGTCTGCCCATCTTCATATACATAGATGCAATATTTAGAGAGTGTGCTGGATAAAGGACACTACAGATACAATGCAGACAATATAAATGTTAGTATACGTACAAATATCAATTTATGTAAACACAATTTATGCATTATAAACTAGGGCTGGGTAATAAATATCAATTTCTCGATATTAATCGATTCTCATTTTTACGAACCGATATCGATTCTTAAGTCTCAAGAATCTATTAGTCATCCTGTTTCATTTGAATGAATGGGACATTGTATCGCGGCTGCGCACATCCAAAAAATCGCAATAATCTTTGTCTTTTTTTACTATTGATATGAAACAAAGTCTCTATTTTAAAATTACGTCCATTTTCTTTAAAAATTCAAAAACATAAATAACGTTTTGGCGCTGTGGCGTGAGATCGCTCTGGAGCAGCTCAAGAGAAGCAGCAGCGCTGATCTCTCTTCCGGGTTAATAATACCAGTTACAGCGCCAAATAAACATGAATGAGCATCTGAAAGTGTGTTAAAGATAGAGTACAACTTATTGAAATCCGGATCATGTCACATTGATTCACTCAATCAGCGTTTCAACCGTGGAAAGACTTCAGTTAAACAGCTTGTAATCAATGTATCGTCATATTTACCTCAGAAAACCCACATAAACTCGTTAGTCATCTTGAAAAAATAACTCTAGAGAGTTATTTATGTATATATATTTTGCTAAATATATACATCATATTACATATATGTAATATTACAATATTCAATATTTAAATATGCATTAAATATTGAAGAACATTAAGATTATAATGCATATATGCATTATAATCTTAATGTTCTTCAATATTTAATGCATATTTAAATTTATATGGCAAGTTTCTATGACAGCCACCATATAAATGTTTATATTTTATATAATCTTCTTATTATAAAAAATAAAAAAGTGTAATTTAAGTGTTTGTAGCTACAAAATTACCTTCAAATTAGGCTAATGAAGCCTAGTAGGCTACAACTAAACTCCCATAGTTTACAGCATTAGTTAAGAGATTTGATTTCCTTGAGAAAATTTGCCATTTATTGTAACTGATATCCCAGATAATCAATATTGAATCGAATCGGAATCGAAAGCGAATCGAATTGTGAAATTTGTGTCAATGGGCTATATGCACGCATAAGTTCCGCATTTGACGCAAGGATGCTCGTCCATTTCCGGTTGTGTAGATTAAAGCGGAGGAAAACCGGAGAAAACGGGATTATGGCAGAGTCTTCAATATTTACTGTCCTCCCGTCTTTGAAACGAAACGTACATACGTTTAGATGTAATTTTATATATAGTTATGTTTATTTAATATAATTTTAAAAAGAAGCATAAACACAACGAGGGGTGTCTGTTTTATCTGTTTTTGTGACTAACGTTTCATTAGTATAACCATGGAGTATAAAATTCAATATAAATTCTCGGTATTGCATTGGACTCTATGATCGGCGGAAGTTATCGAGCATCCTTAATCCTTCACCGGAAATACCGCCGTGCATAGAGCCCATGCCCAGCCCTAAACATATACATATTTACCTTCACATATATTATATTTGTGTGTTTTTACGTGTATGACTTCATGACTTTTTCGCCATAGCGAACTGCTTCATCGTAATTCTCCATGTAGAGACATACGCCCATGGCCTGGTACATCATATGAAGGATGTAGACATTGGAGTCATCAAACACGGTGCTCATCTTATCAATGCTGAGCTCACACATCTCCAACAGCTCAGCCGGGCGTGAACGACAGTCAAGATTCAATAAATGTTTGACTTAACCTTTTACGTTATTTAATGACCTTTGATAAAAACAACAACAGTTGTCAGCTAAGTTGTTCTAGGTGGTTAAAAAAACAAGAACATTAACAGTTTTTGTGCATCTCTGTACAACCTTTAGAAGGACCCAGTGTCAGGAACAAGTGGATGGTTTATTTTTAATGGTGGTCCAGGTCATGTTAGAAGGATTATATCTCAGTTTGGAGCATTTGAATGCAGATTGTTTTATAAACCAGGCTCAGTGTAATGAAGAGAACGATGAAGATGAAGCCAATTGTATCTGACAGCAGCTACATCGTAAATCGTAAGGTTTCATGCTTTGTCTGTTAGTGAGTGAATGTTGATACTTTTTCCTGTGCTATGACGTTAGCCATTCTTAACAGTCAGTTTACTGAAAAGCCTTAAAAATATCCCTTAAAAACTGATCATTCCAGACAAAGAGTCAGAATGAGGGTTGAAAAATTATCCTATTACTTTCCTTTTTTTTTTTTTTTTGCAGGTAACGCTTCCTATTACAGTCCAGTTACCCATTTAAATACTATGTACTTATTTTAGTAACTACAATTACTGGGTAATAACTTTCTAGGTATGTACACTGTAAGCAGTGTTGGGTAAGTTACTCTAAAAAAGTAATTAATTACTAGTTACTAATTACCTCTTCAAAAGTGTAATTAGATTACTGTACTAATTACTCTCTCTAAAAAGTATTTAATTACTTTTAATTACTAATTACTTTCAAAATCCCATATCAATCTCAACCAGCTGAATAATACATGGATAGACATGAATGTGTTTTAATTCTTTCAAATAAATACTATAAAATTGCTATCCTTAAACTGACCAAGGTGGAGAAGGTTACATTATAAAAACATACTTTTTAGCATCAGACAATACATTTTGATGTTAAACCCACTATTGTTTTATGTCTGATCTCATGACATTCCACACTTTTTTCATACATATTTTACAATAATTCATACGAATTTGTACGAGTGCGGTCGTAATATTTAGACACCTCATAAAATGCATACGAATCGCTGTGAGATCGGACTGATCTATACACAGTTTTTACCTCAATTACATCAGAAGTAACTGTAATTAAATTACAGATAAATTAAGAGTAATCCCTTACTTTACATTTTCGAAGGAAAAGTAGTTAAATTACAGTAACTAATTACTTAGTAATTAGTTACACCCAACACTGACTGTAAGTACTGTGCTGTAAAAGGAAGCGTTACCAAAATTTAACCTTAAAATAATAAAAATGTCACGATATTTTGTTCACTATTTTGTTCACTTGAAAAACCAACATAATTTGATACAGAAGTTTAAATAAATGTTTAAATCACTAACCCTGTAAGCACTTGTAATAGTGATGCTTGACTTAGCAAACATTATTAATCATAACCTATTTAAAACATACATGAACAACAATATTTTGAATAACTGGCAGTACTGTGAATCAAACAATCAAGTAACACTGTAGTTATGCAAACAAATTTAGCACAATATTAGCAAAAAGGTCAAAAAAAGGATATTTTTCTCATGTTTGGCCCCACGGAAGTCTTCCATCGTCTTCCGGGCATAACGCACCATATCCCTGGTATCCTTTTGACTGATCTTATCCCCCAGCTTCCGCATCTTCATCTTCACCTTATCCTACAGACCCACAAGAGTAAAATGATATGATCAACAAATTATATTATAATATAAAATATCATAAAATGTCATTTAATAAAATCTCTCTCTTGTAAATGGGATGGTTCCCGATTTTAACCTTCAGGTAGATGGTTTAGAGTCGAACTGTTCCAAACACACATTTGAGGTCTTGCTAAATCAAACTAAACCTTTTTAAATGGTAGTTTATATTTTACATTTTATTGCTTAATTATGTTGTGCTATGACGTTTATACGTGTTCATCTTGTACACTCACCTAAAGGATTATTAGAAACACCTGTTCAATTTCTAATGCAATTATCTAATCAACCAATCACATGGCAGTTGCTTCAATGCATGTACACTCACCTAAAGGATTATTAGGAACACCATACTAATACTGTGTTTGACCCCCTTTCGACTACAGAACTGCCTTAATTCTACGTGGCATTGATTCAACAAGGTTATTTAGAAATGTTGGCCCATATTGATAGGATAACATCTTGTAGTTGATGGAGATTTGTGGGATGCACATCCAGGGCACGAAGCTCCCGTTCCACCACATCCCAAAGATGCTCTATTGGGTTGAGATCTGGTGACTGTGGGGGCCATTTTAGTACAGTCAACTCATCGTCATGTTCAAGAAACCAATTTGAAATGATTCCAGCTTTGTGACATGGTGCATTATCCTGCTGGAAGTAGCCATCAGAGGATGGGGACATGGTGGCCATAAAGGGATGGACATGGTCAGAAATGCTCAGGTAAGCCGTGGCATTTAAACGATGCCCAATTGGCACTAAGGGGCTTAAAGTGTGCCAAGAAAACATCCCCCACACCATTACACCACCACCACCAGCCTGCACAGTGGTATCAAGGCATGATGGATCCATGTTCTCATTCAGTTTACGCCAAATTCTGACTTTACCATCTGAATGTCTCAACAGAAATCGAGACTCATCAGACCAGGCAACATTTTTCCAGTCTTCAACTGTCCAATTTTGGTGAACTCTTGCAAATTGTCGCCTCTCTTTCCTATTTGTAGTGGAGATGAGTGGTACCCGGTGGGGTCTTCTGCTGTTGTAGCCCATCCGCCTCAAGGTTGTGTGTGTTGTGTCTTCACAAATGCTTTGCTGCATACCTCGGTTGTAACGAGTGGTTATTTCAGTTAAAGTTGCTCTTCTATCAGCTTGAATCAGTCGACCCATTCTCCTCTGACCTCTAGCATCAACAAGGCATTTTCGCCCACAGGACTGCCGCATACTGGATGTTTTTCCCTTTTCACACCATTCTTTGTAAACCCTAGAAATGGTTGTGTGTGAAAATCCCAGTAACTGAGCAGATTGTGAAATACTCAGACACCAACAACCATGCCACGCTCAAAATTGCTTAAATCACCTTTCTTTCCCATCCTGACATTCAGTTTGGAGTTCAGGAGATTGTCTTGACCAGGACCACACCCCTAAATACATTGAAGCAACTGCCATATGATTGGTTGATTAGATAATTGCATTAATGAGAAATTGAACAGGTGTTCCTAATCCTTTTGGTGAGTGTATATGTGTAATTGGGTCCAAACCAAATTTCCCTAAATGGGTAAATAAAGTGTGTTCCATCCATCCCACACACCATGGATTTGGTTGTGCACTCTTTGCAGTCACAGCTGAAGTAGTAGATGTCTCGGAGTTTCTCGATCCTGTCCTCTGTAGGGTACAGCAGGTCTATGTAGCTGATGTATATCTACAAACACAGACAAGAAAGCTGTCAGTCACTGAAACTCAACGATAAGGTTACCTGCAGAGTGTAAAACGTCAGGATCATGACAGATTCAATTTTAATTGCTATCGATTTTGTTGAAAAATCCAACATAATCCAGCATGAATTCCATGTTTGTCCAAGCTGGTTTATGCTGATTAGAGATGACATGGTGCTCGCTGGAGGAAGCAAAACCAGCTGTTCTCAAGAAAAAACTGAGCTGGTTTTACAGATATATGGTTTTATATATATATACTGTGTACCCCCTTTTTTACTGTGCTATTACACTGTCAAATGTGGAGCTGTGATTTAAACCAAACGCTATTGGCTATTTTACAGCCTGTCTTCCTGTTTCAGTGGAAATTACATCAACACATTTAATAACAAAATGCCATTTGTTGTATTTTACTATGCTTTCCATGCATGCATGTTATAAACTGACATGCAAAATGATGGTGTTCTGAACTGATATCAATGGTGTGTCAGAGGTGTGTGTTTGTCAGGTTTCGTGTCATCTGAGGCCAAAGTTTGATTTTGATAGAATGTTTTTTGGAGTGAAATATTTGAGATTGACATGTGGTTCAGTTTAATACACAGGAACATTATTAATTTGACTGCACTGACACTGTTAAATAAGAACAAAACTGCTGAGCTGGATGATGACACCACTGTTTTCAGCTGTTTTATAGCCGATTCGGCCGATGCTTTTGCAACATAGACACTGTTCATGAAATGAATTCAAACAAAATTGACTCAAAGTAAATAACAACACTATTGTCTTTTGTCGAGCTGCTTTAAAGATGAATTGAACTCATTTGATAATTGATGAACTTTAAACAGAACTGAAACAGCACTGAACTGACTTCAGCTGAATACTGAATTGATATTGTAATTTTGATTTTTGTACAAATTGGTGTGTTATGAGTTTTGTGTTTATAGTTGTGAGAAAATGGTGACTTGTTTCATAAATTGTGTTTTAGCAATCATGAAAAACTGTAGCTTAACTTCACTGATCAGTGACCTAGGTGTAAAAACAGGGACTCAAACACCGGCTGATTGTCGATTGGCGTCTTTGTTGGAATTTACTTTGCATCATTTTTTGTAGATATAACTTATAACATTATTCTATATAGGAAGCGAAGTTAATTAAGCAGTTTTCAACATTATTGACTATATTGACTAATTGAAACATATCGATTCTAGATTTATTATTCTTTAAAAACATTGTTAGTGCATTGTTAATATTTGTCAGTGTTATTTTTCCATCATATTTTTGTCAACAGTGTGTTTTAATTTAAATAGATTATCACAATAATGTGACTTTGCCCTAGTCTTTGTAATGGTTGACAATTTACTGACATTCTGTCAGTAATTTTGTGACTACATTAACTCTGATGAGATGGCAACGACATACTGACCTCTTCCCCTGGACTGATCTCCTGCACCGCCCGCACTTCAGCATTGACACCTCTGTATGTGATTATGACATTGGGACAGCAGCTGTGGTTCATCAGGGCAATGCTAAGAGAGCAACAGAAACACAATACAGAAATGTGGGAGATGAAAAGTGGAAAATAAATAGTGTAACAAAAAACCTCAGAGAGGATTGTAAAGGATGAAGACATAAATGGGAAAAATGAGAGGTTGTAAAGGAGTCTGACAATGTCCCCACTCAGACCTTCTGGATGTGTTTCTCTAAGTGGACTAAAAATGCTGGATTGAGACTGTTGGATAAGGAACTGGATTGATTTGACCTAATTTAGGTTTGTAATCACTCATAATCAGTGTTGGGAGTAACGCATTACAAAAGTAATACATTACAGTAACATATTACTTTTTGCTGTAACGCAGTAGTGTAAGGCATTACTAATCAATTTTCAGTAATATTTTACTCGTTACATGTTCAGTGAGGCTTGTATTACAGTTGTATTACAGTGTATTGTTTTACTTCTTAAAGGCAACAGACTATGTGAAAGTTTTAAAGCAGTCTTTCAGTGCCAGTTCACAGCGGTCGCGTTTGTAACATTGTTTTTTCCTCATAAACGAACACGAAAACTAAAATAAAATGAATATTTTAAGTTCTATGGAGACTGGAGAGCCAACCCTTCCTCATCCGATTTGCGCAGTGCAATTAACAGAATTACAAAAAATCGATTTTGCCTCCTATTTTTTTGTCACGCATGAATGTGTGTCTTTTCCCTAATATTAAAAATAAAACATAGACTGATATTTGTCTAATGTCTGGAGTCAGGAAAAGGAAGTAGCCTATATACGTTTCAATTACAAAATTTTTATTTCAAGTTTTGACTGCAAATGTCATGTCTATAATGCTGGACTTCCCCAATTTTAAATAATTTATCCTGAACTAGTTTTGTGGTGTAGGTCTACGTATTTTATAATGTTAACTTCAAATAATACTAATAGCCTAATTTAAAGATAAGGCAGCATTGGATATGGACGGTAAGGAGAATAACGCTGGAGTTGGAAGAGGTTTGTCGTGATTCTGTAGGTTTGTGGATCTGAGTCGTGTGGCGAATCGCGATTTCGGTTTCATATTGCATATCGTTACAGCCCCAAAGTTAAGTTCTACTTAGTTATTTTGGTGAAAGTAACTCAAAAGTAATACATGAGTAATGTAACGCATTACAATTCTGGGACAGTAATATTGTAAGGTAATGAATTACTTTTAAATAACAGTAACAAGTAATACCTAATGTATTACAGTTTCGAAGTAACTTGCACAACACTGGCAGTAACCCAATGGTTCTGGGCTGGGAATGTGGGTGGGAAAGCACAGCAAGCACATCACATGTTCCAGGGGTTCCCTACAACGGGTTGTCAACTCTGGCCCTTGACCCATCTATAACGGTCTAGTAATCCTGAAGACCTAGTTTAGTTTGTCAGGTGTGATTACGGTTGGAACTGAAATCTGCATGCGAGTGGACAAAGTTATGAACGCCTGCTTATCAACTTTGCCTATCCATGTTCCTGATGCTCATGACAGGAATATGTGGACAACACGCAACTTTCAAATTTAGTCTACATATACAAGTTAGAAGGTTTCATCCTTGTCCAGTATCAGTATCAGTAGCGCTATTTCTCTACAGAAGTTCTGAAAATGTATTTGTACTTGTTTAAACTTGTTCATAGAGCTTGTCAACATGGGTACGGGTTGATATTAGCTCTCCAGAAGTTTGATGCTATTCTGTCTCAGTGCTGCCAAGCACAGCAAAAACTCCAGTGTTAAATGAACTCTCTTGGGAGTTTATTTGGCTCCAGACTCAAGTGTTAGAGTGTTCAAATATGAGTGTTGAATTAACATAAAGAGATAATTAAGTGAATAATTGAGTGATAATTGATTGAAAATCAATTAAGTTATAACTGCTAGATGAACAAAGAGAAAATGTGATCAGGTTATGTTTTGACATAATCATCACTTGACCTGAACCACCAAACTCATTTAGAGTGTATTTACCTTGTTGATTACAGCAACACTGTGATTCTATAACAAACATTTATTAATTACCAACATTTTCAATATAATCAAAACTAGTTCTTAAAACGTTGTTCTGATTGAAAAACACTTTGAAAAATTATTTTACTTAGACACACTGACATCAATAATCAGCCTGTGAATCTCAACAATGGTGACGATAACAAAGCATGTTGCAGTGCATTCTGGGTGCCACCAATCAAAACTCATTCATGGGTCCCATCATGCATTGCGGTATGGATACATTATGATCTGATTTGTCTTAGTAATTTCCTCATCCTAATTAAATATTTTGTTTGTCACCATTGTTGAGATTCATACACTGATTCTAGATGTCCGTGTAAGCAAAAAAGGGAGATATATTTTATCAGAACAACTTTTAGGAAATCCTTTGGATTAAATTGAAAATTCAAGATCTTATGTTGTAATTATCAATATAAATATAAGTCGGAGATTAGGCTCTAAATGAGTTTAGTGATTCAAGTCAAACGATGATTATGTTAAAACACAACATAGCCATCACCTTTACTCTTTGTTTATCTGGCTGTTTACCACTCAGTTTCAGCAGCCAAACAAAAACAAAAATGTATAAATGTGAGATTCAAGAGCCCAACTAAAGCAGACACTGATCACCATAATAGTGACTTACAAATAGTGATTTTCACCTTCAGTGATTTTGTAGTAAAACTCATTAATTTCTTGAATTTCACTTTTTTTGTTTTCGCTTTTGAAAGCAACTTTTGTGTTTGTAGTTTGACGTCTCCATATTGATATTGTCTGTCTCAAGTTCAACGTTTTTACTGTTTTACACACAATACGCAAGTTCACTTATCAACCAGGGGATTACCCAGAAGTGTTACCTTTCACTGTGAAGATCTAAACATATTTAGATATATCGAAATCATCTTCCATTGCGATTTCCTGTGTATCTAAATATGTTTAGATCTTCACACTGAAAGGTAACACTTCCGAAATCTCTGTGTAAGCAATGAGTGGCGTACACGCGCAAGCGATCACTTCCGGCGCATGCGCAGACCGAAGCGCCCGTGCCTTCAAATCCCTTGGACGTGGCTGTGGTTACAAGAGGTAAAAACAATATAAATACTGTTCGTTTTCTCACACAAACCGCTCGTTTCGTGTCTCAGGCCATCAATGTGTACTTATATTTACGAGTCATTCAATCATGTTAAATTTGGACTTCTCTGTGCATGCTCTTTGAGGTGGTGACCATAGACCTCCATTATATGACCGACAGACAAGAACGGTTTGACCGAAAAATATCAAAATTTAAAATACTGTGGAAACAAAGACACCTACATCTTGGATGCCCTTGAGGTAAGATAAAACATATCAAAAATTAATTTCAAAGTGACCTATCCCTTTAATAAAAAGCCCTTGTTTCCTGCACTTGAGTCCTCGTTACTTCCACCTATCCAAAACCAAACACTAGTTCTGTCTCAGATATGTTAGGTCATGAAGGCAAAGGCACTTTCATATCATTTACAGTATACTGTGTGTGTAAGTAAATATTCAATATTAAATATTCGTATTTTGTTCTTTGCGCTTTACAAAAACATAAAGCCTTGTGAGAAGACACATTGTCAGAGAGATTGTGTATGTGTGTACTTGTGCTTACTCTGGAAAAATAGCTAAACCCAAGTTTGAGAGCTCCTCGTCCTCCACAGTAAAGCCGTTACAGTGAACCTGTGTGAAGGAGACACAACATATCATGCCAATCTTTTACTTTAATTAGATTAGTGACCCTTTGTGGAAACCCCTTTGGTTACTGTTGCTACATATCTTACAGAATATTTCATATAAAATGTTCATAAAGTGTCAATAATGGAATAGATGGAAATAAGTATAAATAGATAGATAGATAGATAGATAGATAGATAGATAGATAGATAGATAGATAGATAGATAGATAGATAGATAGATAGATACTTTTATTTCCCTATTGATGTGTAATTTTCTATATATATAATTATACAAAAATGTGTTATTTATTTATGCATTTATTTATTTATTTCCACTTTTATTTATTTCTAAATGTATACATTTATTTATTCATGTATTTATTTATTTTTACATTTATTGCTCTGTATGCTATTGTGTTTTACTTCAGACATAGCAATCAAGCTCAGAGTGAGTGGCAGTGCTGAAGCTTTGAGGCCACAGTGACACCTTGTACACTACGCAAGAGGTTTGTGGACGTGACTTTACAGGTGTCACAGGAAACAAATGACTTAGAGATGGGTAATATGGCCAAAATCTATGTCCATTAACTTTACTTGGCTATTTAGGCTTACCATACCCTGATCAACTCTTTATTCCGGACATGGCCGTAAATTATTATCTACACTATTATCCACATTTTATGCCATGCATTGTATATCCGTCTTTATTGTCCAGTAATTTATTTATTTAGGTATTTTTATTTATTAACTGGGAAGGACTGAGCTAACAGTCAACACTTCTTTTACATTGTGTTTACCTGTGAGAAAAGTGTGAGCAGGGCCTGATGATCAGGGAAGTCCATGTGCTTGGAGTAGAAGTGATGAAGGCCAGCTATATGTGCTTCAGTCATCTCTCTTTTCTCATTATCCAAATCCTCCATGTCTGTGAGAATACATGCGTAAAGTCAACACAAAAATGGCTTGTCAACATTTCTCATTCCACACACATTCGTGTTGTACATTTGGAGACACTAGCTGTAGTTGTGGAATCATATATTTCAAGAAAAGAAAATATATGGATGGTAAAAACTGCTTAATGAAAACGGTCTAACCTAAAACACACAGATCAAAACAGCATAAATATTCACCTTCTTTTCTCTGAAATACTACAACAATATAAACAGACTCAGTTTTTGTTGACTCAAATATTGTTTAACCAAATAGCAGAAGTTGCCTGCATACTGAAAAAAAATTATCAGAACAAAAAAGTATCAAAAACGTATCTTTAATTTGACTTTTTGCCTGTGAAAAAACTGCAAAGTGTATTAAAAACTGACCAGAGAGCACACGTTTCAGCCCACAGCTTTCTTCAGTGCTCATAGAAAATAATGTTTAATACAATGGAAACAGAAAACCATCGCCATCTTAAAATGATTCAACGTTTGTTACTTCCCTGACATCTGGGATGTCAAAAAAAACTATTATTTGCAGCCACAGGTAAGTCGTTTTAAGTAAGTCGCTTTGGAAAAAAGCGTCTGCAAAATGACTAAATATAAATGTAAAATGTGACTCTCAGGACACGCCTCCGTAGTGTTGTGATATGTCATATTCATGTAGCAGCGCCAGCAGTCGCGAAGAGAGAACGCGCTTGAGCAATAGTTCAGAAGGGTGAAATCAATAGTTGAACTGGACGCGCGAATGAGGTGAAATCACACTGCGTTAAGGCCAATTTATACTTCTGCGTTAAGCCTGTTTTATGCTTCTGCGTCGAATCGACGGCGTACCCCCGCAGACCCCTATCCGTCGACGCAAACCCCTCTCCGACCCCTCCGCCGTAGCTCGACGTGCACCTCCAAAAATTTGTAACTACGCGTCGAGGCGACGCAGACAGCAAGGGCTTTGATTGGTCACATTATACATCAATTCAGGAGTGTAGCTTTTCCGATTTCCCCCTCCCGCTATTAGCGCTATTTTTAACATTTGCACCCTCGTTCTGATAATTATAATACTCTTATAAAGAAAGTAAATAAAGAATTAATCTAAAAATAAACTGTTTTTTTTTATTTCATTGTTAATATATATGTCTATATTCTTTTCTTTCTTATTTGCTCGCAATAAACTTCAATCAATCAATAAATCAACGTTTGTTTTGAAACACAGTTTGTTGTTTATTTTCAATACAATGTTCACGGTTACATCATTGATAATACAGTACTAACCAAGTCTGCCACTGGACACATTATCCTGCCATAGCACAGTTCCACGTGGAGACTGAAAAAATCCTTTAAGTCATTCCGAACAGGTATCGTTATGGCAGCTCGGGTGGAACCTTTATTTTATTGTCTATGGGTGGAACGGGCCCTGGACATCCGTGTTGATTCTGTGGGGATAAAGTTGGCAGCTGCTAAAACAACATTCTCTCTCTTTCGCTCACGGCGCACGGAACCAAAGAGATTCGCGAACCCCCCTAGCGTTCTGGCGGCGAAATGCACCGCGATGCACCACAACCTCACGCAGAAGTATAAAACGGCCACAACGCCGTAGCAGTGACGACGTAGCTACGCCGTGGAGTTGACGCAGAAGCATAATGAGGCCTTTAGGGTGCGCGCAGTAGGTACGGCGTAGCATACGCACAGACGCGTCCCATACCGCGTACCCTTCGCCGTCGCCTGACGCGCACCTCTTCAAAAAGGTAACTACACGTCGCGACGACGCGGACCGCAAGATCGGTGATTGGTCGGCTTGGTAGCATTGCATTTCCTCCTACGCATTTCCGCACGTACCATCTCGCGCATTTCCACCACTGTCTATGATTTCCACACGTACCATCTCCTCCGACATCTCATTTCTGCCTTTCAGTTTTAGTAATTTCACTAAAGTGAACTGTTTTTCCACCTCAATAAGCTCCAACTCCAACATGATCAGCTCTCTTTCAGTCGCCTAACCGCGAGGAATCTAAACACAGTGGAACATTAAAACCCTCCGCCGCCAACTTGCGTTTCGGAGCAGTACTGCAGGGCATCCAAGACCTGAACGCAGAAGTATAAATGCTCACAACGGCGCCGCCTACGTGCGTAGCCAACACCGTACACTACGGCGTACCATCGACGCAAAAGTATAAATTGGCCTTTAAGCCTTGTTTATACTCGATGCGTCCGCAAGAGCGCGAAGGGCGCGCGCCAAAAATGACGTCATTGCGGTGTGGGCGGTCGTGCGCGTAGGGTCCGCAAGACCCCATTGCGCCTGGCGGTATGCACGGCACTTTTTGTAACTTTGCGCGCGGCGCCGCATCCGAAGATGGACGACTACGAGCCGAATCTGGCCGAACTGGTGGTACGATCTGTACCAGCATGTTTATGATCCTTCTGATACACAGAGACATTTGCATTGATGGGCGACCACAACATCTCATTTTGTGAACAACACATTTGCATTAAGCACCTAGTTCGCACTTGTCTATATCTACAAAATAAGCCTACAATAGCAGAATTCAGCCCTGCTGGTAAAATTAATGTTTAAAGGTGCCATATGTAATAAATAAGGTAAAAATATCTAAAAAATGAGCTACACGCATCAAAAGAATGAGAAGAAATAAGGGCAATGATGTAATTAAAAAACTGACAAGTTATAGTGCTGCCGAGATATAAACCTAAATTAGCATGCTAAATTACTAGCCCCGGCCCGGCAGGTGTCGTAATACCAGTTCCGGCCATGGGAGGCGGTATGCGGGCGGGCAACGTTACCACCAGCCAAACTGCAGTACACGAGTGAGCGCTCGCGCAGGCTTGTGTGTACTTGAACCTGATGTCAGTCGTGTGGAAATACAGCCCACTACTACATTTCAGTTCAGGGAAGAGTTCGAAAAATGATTGGTCGACATTATGCATGAGGAATACATTTTGGTAAGTTGTAGCATACTGTATCTTTCAACAGTGTTCGTGTTCTTTTACCATTAGCTAGTAGAGATGATCGGTTCACGTGCGCTAGTGATCTGTGGTGTAACATGTACAAACGCAAAAACGGTATTTATTGTTTGAATTGCATAATAAAATTGACAGAATCTGAGAGCTTAACTAACCTGCTTGCTAAGTGTTAATTGCATGTGTCTCACGGTGAATTCGTGAGAGCTGGCAGCAGCGAATGCTGTCAGTCAAATTAATTCAAACTAACAATAAAAGTGTAATATGAACAAAACGAATACCGTAAACTTAAAATAATAGCCTGCAGGCTTTTATTTTCCCATATCGTCGAAATGCAACAGCTTGTTTTTGAGACAGGCGTCTATGAGGCGGTCTTCATCATTTAGTGTTGAGATGTTGTTCATTTAGTCTCTGATCTCTAAAAATCTCCAAATGCTCCATGTGAAACTGCGGTCTTCCGACCTTTTACTATCGTGTCAAATGATTTGAATAATATGCGGAGAAAGAGAGCAAAACAGCGCTCGTTTGTGTTGTTTGAAGACGTGAGTGCGTGCGGCAGCGGCACAACACATTTTCTGGAGGTATACTGCCCCCATCTGTTATGGAATATGGAATATTTTTTGATTTTTAGTTCCAGATGGCACCTTTAAACACTCTCCAACAAGGCTTCAGTTGTTTAACTAGTTTACATGCAGTGAAAGTAGGCTACAATAAACCTACTACATTTACTCTTTTATGAATTAGCAATTAATACTACTAATAAACGGGCAAACTACTTCTTCACTGCTGATTCCTGGTGGTTTAGAGGAGAGTTACTCCGAGTTCGCCCCCTGTCGTTTCACAGAAGAATAGCACAACGGCGAGCGCGTCAAGTATAAATGCCTCGTCCGTTCGGAGAGGTGCGCGCGCAGGCAGCGGAGACTCGCGCTCTTGCGGACGCGTCGAGTATAAACAAGGCTTTAAAGGGTTAGTTCACCCAAACATGAAAATTAAGTCATTAATTACTCACCCCCATGCTGTACCAACCCCGTAAGACCTTCGTTCATCTTCGGAACACAAATAAAGATATTTTTGATTGAGTCTGAGGGCTGGATCACTCTTCCATAGACAGCCTGAGGGACTGCCTCTTGACGGCCCAGAAAGTCATTAAAAGAAAAGGTTTAAGTATTCCATGTGCCTACAGTGGCTCAACTATAACTTTATCAAGCGACGAGACTACTTTTTGTGCGAAAAAAAAACGTAAATAACGACTTTATTCGACTTTCCATTACTTCCTTATGGGCGCATGCCCGAGAACTGAGACGAGACTGTTCTTCTTCGACTACTTTTTGTTACCGGCTGCTCGCCGCTTAGGAGTTTTACCGCCCCCTACCGTATAAGATGACGTACTGATATAGCCGGAGGCGCAAAACGTTCTGTTTACAAGCAGTACGTCATCTTATACGGTAGGGGGCGGTAAAACTCCTAAGCGGTGAGCAGCCGGTAACAAAAAGTAGTCGAAGAAGAACAGTCTCGTCTCAGTTCTCGCGCATGCGCCCATAAGGAAGTAATGGAAAGTCGAATAAAGTCGTTATTTACGTTTTTTTTCGCACAAAAAGTAGTCTCGTCGCTTGATAAAGTTATAGTTGAGCCACTGTAGGCACATGGAATACTTAAACCTTTTCTTTTAATGACTTTCTGGGCCGTCAAGAGGCAGTCCCTCAGGCTGTCTATGGAAGAGTGGTCCAGCCCTCAGATTCAATCAAAAATATCTTTATTTGTGTTCCGAAGATGAACGAAGGTCTTACGGGGTTGGTACAGCATGGGGGTGAGTAATTAATGACTTAATTTTCATTTTTGGGTGAACTAACCCTTTAAACGCGTCTCGCGCCGCAGGACCTCCATACCCACGTCAAGGCGTCTTTACATTGACTTAACATGGAAATCACTCGCTACAGATGCTCGTTTTGCGTTCGGTGTGAATGCAGCAGTTACATAATAAAATATTGGTCACAAATGATTGGTCACTTTCTAAATAGTAAAAGTATAGCGCATCTACTAATAATCATATTAGAATAAATAGTTTTTTACCGATGCAAATGGGCTATATGCACGCATAAGTTCCGCATTTGACGCAAGGATGCTCGTCCATTTCCGGTTGTGGAGATTTAAGCGGAGGAAAACCGAGGAAAACGGGATTATGGCAGAGTCTTCAAAATGTACTGTCCTCCCGTCATTGAAACGAAACGTACATACGTTTAGATGTAATTTTATATATAGTTATGTTTATTTAATATAATTTTAAAAAGAAGCATAAACACAACGAGGGGTGTCTGTTTTATCTGTTTTTGTGACTAACGTTTCTTTAGTATAACCATGGAGTATTAAATTTAAATTAAATTATCGGTATTGCGTTGGACTCTACGATCGGCGGAAGTTATCGAGCATCCTTAATCCTTCACCGGAAATACCGCCGTGCATAGAGCCCATTACCGCAATTTACAATTTACCGATGCGAATCATCCTTACCACTCATATGTATTCTGTGGCAACAATATGTCATACTACTATACAATATAGCATCACGTTCATAATGTCTAGTATGCACAGTATTCAGTAAGTTAGTAATCCATTTCGAGCCTAGCCTCTTTGTAAGATGTGTAATGTTTTTCTGGTACTTACGGTCTTCCATATCCTTCAATACGAGTAGTTTTTCCGATGGGCTTCTCTCTTTCTGGTCTCTCTGCATCATTAGCAAAATACACATGTCAAAAACTCATTGATTCTGCGTCTATAAGAGGAGTACGAAAATCTTGCTTGTCTCTAACCAGCCTGGCGATGATTCTGGCCACCAGTCGCACCGTTTCCGAGGGGCACCAGCTCTCTCCAAACGTGCACATGGCATGACACTCCAGCTTGTGCATGGACCAGTTCTTCTTCTGTCAGATACACACACAAAACTGACACATGAAGCACATACACACAAAACACTGCGTGAATGTCTATAGTGCTGGGCTGTCCAAAGGGTCACTGTTCTGAATATTAGGGTGTGTTTATTAATATTCTGTTTACTTTTATTTAAATCAACAATTAAACAACACCAGACAATGAATAAGGGTCTTATCAAGTGAAACGATCGCTCATTTCAAAAATAAATACAAAAGTTTGTTTTATAAGCACAAATGCTCAGAACCACTCAAATCTTTTTTCGTGTCATTTGTTTCATTCAACGAACAAAATGACTAGAAAAAAGATTTGTTCATTTTGATGAACGAGTTTGAACAGGAGAGTCACGAACGCGCATCACAGAACAGAGCAAGGCGAGCATCTGAGCAAATAAAACTTAAACTTCATTTATTTTTTTTAAATGAGCAATCGTTTCGCTTGATAAGACCCTTATTCATCGTCTGGAATCGTTTAAAGCCCTTTGAACAGTTTGCACTGAAACTTTCTTTTGAACCTTGAACCGTTTGCTTCCCATTGAAGTCCATTATATTATTTTTGATGAAAACATTCCAGCATTTTTTGATGAAAACATTCCTCCATATAATGGACTTCAATGGGGTCCAAACGGTTCAAGGTCCAAATGAGAGTTTCAGTGTGCTGTTACTTATGTCTAGCCGTGTTTCCTTTCCGCCTCCTTCTGGACATTTAAGGTACTGCACTTTGTGTTTTATAGTTTAGTTTCGGTTTCCCTCAGTGAATGTAGTCGAGTACAACGTGCACGCAGTTTCAATCGGCTATTGATTCCATCGTTTAAACCTCGGAAATATATGTCTGTAAGTGCTTTTTTTTTACTAATTAGGGATTTAAAATGTTTAAGGATAATTAGATCGAGATTATTTCTATATTTTTGTTATAAGCTCACTTGATTCGTGTTATTGGTAACATGTTATGTTTGAGTGTACTGACATGCTAGTTTCTCTTCTATTTGTATATAATCTCATTTAAATATTACTTCTCTGTCTATATTACTTAAAATTATGTAAAAGTAACTATGTACAAAATCGAACTGTAATGTTAAGCTGGATGTGTATGTAGATGTGAACATAATGTTCATTCATATTTCTTTTCTTGTTCATAGTTTTACAGAAAGAATATTGAGAAGTGAACCATCAGTAAAGTCACTAAAGTTATAAACACTGCTTTCTGGAGTTCCTTTTCTTCAAGTTGTACGCTATCTGTTAAACCTTTGCTCAGCTACGCATTGGCCAGAACAGAATAGTAAAAAGACATGGATCACAGCGGGTGAAGACAGCGGAACTACATAGCCATTGTAACATTGTATGCACAACTCTTCAGAAGCAAGGAAAGTATGGAGTCACACAGTGATGAGAAAGACAAATCCGAAGCTTTTGAGATTAGATCACGACTTTCTAGCTGCAAGTCATCTCAAAGATCGAGCCGGTCATCAGCAAGTGTGGCAGCAACTCGGGCTCGAGCTAAAGCGGAAGCAGCTCGAGCTAAAGCATCTTATGCAGAAAAGGAAGCAGCTATGATGAGGAAAAAAGCAGAAGTAGAAGCAGATCTATTCGTGCTACAATCTCAAAAAGAAGCAACAGCAGCGTCCGCTGAAGCAGCAATTTATGAGGCAGCAGCTGACATAGAGGATGGAAATATAGACGAATTGGACCATGAGACAAACTTAGTTTGCACTCAGCGTACTAAAGAGTATATTCAGAAACATACAATGGAACAGCATCAGTTTCCTGAAACTCCAATTCTACAGCCATCAATGAGAAGCGCTAAACCTCTTCACTGTGAAGCTACAGTAACACCTCCACATGTATATCCATCGTATGAAATGGAGGAGTTAAAAATAAAACATGAGACAATGGATAACCAGACAGCCGAAGATCATGGTCATGGTTCTGCCTTTCAAGCTTCTCCTGTTCCCAGCTTTAGAGCTCCCATGGTTAACCTGCCATACACATCTGATTTAGCTAATTACATGGTAAGAAAAGAGATGGTGAGTTCTGGTCTTGTGAAGTTCGATGATCAACCTGAGAACTACTGGGCCTGGAAATCCTCTTTTCAAGATGTCACAAAGGACCTCGGATTAACAGCCAGAGAAGAGCTCGACCTTCTCACAAAATGGCTCGGCCCAGAGTCATCCATGCAAGCAAAACGGATCAGATCGGTGCATGCACACTATCCTATAGCAGGTGTCAGCATGCTTTGGCAGCGATTGGAAGAGTGTTACGGGAGCCCAGAAGTAATTGAGAATGCGCTGTTGAGAAAACTGGAGGAGTTTCCAAACATTTCTAACAGAGATGGGCAAAGACTCAGGGAGCTTGGAGACATGCTTATGGAATTGGAATCTGCTAAGGCAGGTGGACATTTACCAGGTTTAGCAATTCTTGACACTGCGAGGGGAGTCAATCCTATCATTGAGAAGCTTCCTTTCAATTTGCAGGAAAGATGGATCACTCATGGAGCTAAGTATAAAGAGGATCATCATGTCTCTTTTCCACCATTTGGCTTTTTTGTGCGGTTCATTAGCGACCAAGCGAGAATAAGAAATGATCCAAGTTTTTTGTTATCTATGCAGAGTCGTCTTAAACAGGAGAAGTTTTCACGGGTCAGCAACAAAATACCTGTGTCAGTAAGGAAAACTGAAGTGCTAGACACAGTTTCAAAAAACAGAACCAACCACTCCCCAGAACAAAAGATTTTGGACCCTAGTAAGCAATGTCCAATTCACAATAAGCCGCATCCGTTGTCAAAGTGCCGTGGGTTTAGAGGAAAGACCCTGGATGAAAGGAAAACTTACCTTAAAGAACAGTCTATCTGCTTCAGATGTTGCGGTTCCACAAAACACATAGCCAAAGAATGTGGGGCAGCTGTTAAATGTAGAGAGTGTAACAGTGATCGCCATGTCTCTGCATTGCACCCAGGGCCTGCTCCATGGGCAGAGGAAGCTTCAGTAACAGAACGAGAGCAGGGTGGGGAGTCTGAAGGAGATATATCATCTGATGTTACTTCCAAGTGCACGGAAATATGTGGCAAAGCTCCCAGACCTAGATCATGCTCGAAAATCTGTCTGGTTGACGTTTATCCATTTAACTGTCCTAAAAAGGCTAAGAGGATGTATGCGGTTCTGGACGACCAGAGTAACCGGTCTCTAGCAAGGTCTGACTTTTTTGAGTTGTTTGGGATCAATGGAGGCTCTTTCCCCTATACTCTTCGTACATGTGCTGGTTCATCAAAGACAATGGGAAGGAAAGCAGACAATTTCATTGTTTGTTCACTTGATGGGAAAACGCAGGTGCCACTTCCCACTCTCTTAGAATGCAATATGTTGCCCGAAGATCGAGATGAAATTCCAACACCAGAAATAGCACAATACTTCCCTCATCTCAAGTCAATGGTAGACAAAATACCACCTTATGATGCAAAAGCTCCCATTCTTCTCCTTTTAGGAAGGGACATCCTAAATGTGCACAAGGTTCGGGAACAGTATAATGGACCAGGTAACACGCCATAAGCTCAGCGCCTTGACTTAGGCTGGGTCATTGTGGGAGAAGTGTGTATGGGAGGAGTACACAAGTCCGAGACTGCAAACGTTTTCAGGACAAACATACTGCAAAATGGACGTACCTCTTTTTTCTCACCTTGTCCTAAAGGAATTCAGGTCAAAGAACAGTTTGGCACTCCGAATAATCTCTACCAGTCAGATCACCTGGGTGACAAGGTCTTTCAGAGGACCCCTGATGATAATAAACCTTCCCTGTCTTTTGAAGATGAGATCTTCCTTGATGTTATGAACAGAGAAATGTACATGGATGAGTCGAACCACTGGATAGCTCCTTTGCCGTTCCGTTTACCCAAAAGCCCACTGCCGAACAACCGGGACCAAGCTATGAAGCGCCTTAACGCCCTGCAACGCACCTTACAAAAGAAACCTGAGATGGCTGAGCACTTTGTGGAGTTCATGCAAAACATGTTCATCAACAAACATGCCGAACTAGCTCCCCCACTGAAGCCTGATGAAGAATGCTGGTATTTGCCGATATTTGGGGTGTACCACCCTATGAAACCTGGGAAGATTAGGGTCGTCTTTGACTCTAGTGCACCATGTGAAGGCATCTCTTTGAATACCACACTTCTTAGTGGACCGGATCTAAACAACAAGCTACTCGGGGTCCTGGTGCGTTTTCGTAAGGAGCAGATTGCAGTAACAGCTGATGTAGAACAAATGTTCTACTGCTTCAAGGTCAGAGAAGATCATCAAAACTATTTGAGGTTCTTGTGGTTCAGAGATAACGATCTGTCCAAAGAAATTACAGAGTACCGAATGACAGTTCATGTTTTTGGGAACAGTCCATCTCCAGCTGTGGCAATCTTTGGAATGAGACGAGCAGCTGAGTTTGGAGAAGAGGAGCATGGTAGAGAAGCCAAACAGTTTGTCCATCAAAACTTTTATGTGGACGATGGCCTGATTTCAGTATCCAGTGCAGCTGAAGCCATTTGTCTCCTGAGAAACACTAAAAATATGTTGGCTGAGTCAAACATCAAGCTCCACAAGATTTCGTCAAATAGTCATCAAGTCATGGAAGCATTCCCTCCATCCGAAAGAGCAAATGACCTGAAGGATCTCGATTTGAATGTCGATCCTCTACCTCTCCAAAGAAGCTTAGGGTTGAGTTGGAACTTAGAGACTGACTGTTTCACTTTTCAAGTATCTACAGAGGTGAAACCATTTACGCGACGGGGCATACTTTCAACAGTTAACAGTCTCTATGATCCTTTGGGACTTGTTGCCCCTGTTACCATGCAGGGTAAAGCCTTGGTAAGAGAGCTATCATCAGAGCAGCTTGACTGGGACACACCGCTCCCAGCTGATAAAGAGGTGAAATGGAATGCATGGACAGAGTCTTTAACCGATCTCAAAGAAGTTCAGATTCGCAGACCCTATGTACCAGTCTCTATGTCCTACACTTCCAAGAGAGAGGTAATCATTTTTGCTGATGCTTCCACTTTGGCCATAGCAGCTGTTGCTTACCTTAGGGTTGTAACTACAGAAGGTCAATGTCACATTGGGTTTGTAATGGCCAAATCAAAGTTGGCTCCATACCCCGCTCACACAGTGCCACGTCTAGAGCTGTGTGCAGCAGTTCTTGCTGTGGAGATGGCAGAACTGATTAAACAAGAGCTAGATCTGGATTTAACTGCAGTAGAATTCTACACTGACAGCAGAATTGTTTTAGGATACATTTATAACACATCTCGACGGTTCTACATGTATGTGGCTAACAGAGTGGCGAAAATCAGATGTTTCACAAAGCCAGAACAGTGGCATCACGTTGATTCAGGTCAGAACCCAGCAGACCTTGGTACCAGATTCATTCCAGCAGCTGTCCTACCTCACACTAACTGGCTCTCTGGTCCAGAATTTCTCCATCAGGCTAATCTTGGAGGCACACCTGAAAATGAAGCGTTTGAGCTTGTAAAGCCAGAGGAGGATAAGGAGATTCGCTCTCAGGTGCTAACCTTGGTCACTACCATGACAGAACTATCTCTAGGATCACACAGATTTGAGCGCTTTTCAGAGTGGAGATCCCTTGTAAGAAGCATAGCTATGCTTGTCCATGTGGCAAAATCATTTTCTCGAGAAGGAAATACAGGGGATTGCAAAGGCTGGCATTGGTGCAAAAAGGGTCTTCAGACTGAGCGTACACAAGCAAAAACCTTCATCATTAAATGTGTGCAGCAAGAGCACTATAAAGATGAACTCAAGAGCTTGGAGAAAGGTGAGGAAATCTCACAGCAAAGTGCTCTGAAGAACCTATCTCCCTTTGTAGACAGCGAAGGATTGATTCGAGTGGGAGGTCGCTTACAACCAGCAGAAATGTCTGAACAGGAAAAGCACCCACTAATTGTTCCAGCGAGTCAACATGTATCTACATTGTTGGTCAGACACTATCATGACCAAGTGGCACATCAAGGACGTCATCTAACTGCCGGTGCACTACGTTCAGCAGGGCTCTGGATTGTAAAAGGAACAAAGCTGATCAATCATGTGATCCATCAGTGCGTTATCTGTAGGAAGTTAAGAGGAAAATTTGAAGAACAGAAAATGTCAGATTTACCTTTGGACAGAGTGAAAGTGGATCCTCCATTTACTCATGTGGGCCTAGATGTTTTTGGGCCATGGAATATAGTATCCCGCCGCACTAGAGGGGGCAGTGCTGAGAGCAAAAGATGGGTCGTCATTTTCTCTTGCTTAAGTACCAGGGCTGTCCACCTGGAAGTCATCGAGTCCATGTCAACCTCAAGTTTCATTAACGCCCTCAGGCGGTTCTTGGCAGTTCGAGGACCAGTCAAACACTTCAGATCTGACAGAGGGACTAATTTCATCGGAGCCTGTCGAGAACTGAACATCAAGACCGATGATCCAGAACTAAAGGGTTACTTACAGGCGCATGGTTGTGTATGGACATTTAATGCTCCCCACTCTTCCCACATGGGAGGAGCTTGGGAAAGAATGATCAACATAGCAAGACGCATTCTGGATGCATTGCTGCTAAGAAACGGTCTTTCCCGTCTTACCCATGAGGTTTTGACTACTCTCATGTCAGAGGTCATGGCAATAATGAATGCTAGACCTTTACTTCCTATTTCCTCTGATCCTGACTCACTGGAAGTTCTGTCCCCAGCAATGCTTCTCACCCAAAAGGCTAGCACTATACCAGCACCTCTTGGGGACTTTAATGTGAAGGACCTCTACAAGAAAGAATGGAGACAGGTTCAGTGTTTTGGCAGATGCTTTCTGGAAGGCTTGGAGGAGAGACTATCTTGCAACATTGCAAGTACGGAGGAAATGGACTGAGAAAAGGCGAGATCTTGAAGAAGGTGATGTTGTCTTGCTTAAGGACTCAAATGTGAAACGAAATGAGTGGCCGATTGGACTCATCGTGAAAACCATACGCAGTAGTGACGATAAAGTGAGGAAGGTGGAGGTAAAGATAATTAAAGAAGAATCTGCAAAGGTTTATTTAAGGCCTGTCTCAGAGCTAATCCTACTCCTGCCGGGGAAGGCATAAGAAGATAAATAGTGGTATAATAATTTATTATACCAGGCGGGGAGTGTGCTGTTACTTATGTCTAGCCGTGTTTCCTTTCCGCCTCCTTCTGGACATTTAAGGTACTGCACTTTGTGTTTTATAGTTTAGTTTCGGTTTCCCTCAGTGAATGTAGTCGAGTACAACGTGCACGCAGTTTCAATCGGCTATTGATTCCATCGTTTAAACCTCGGAAATATATGTCTGTAAGTGCTTTTTTTTTACTAATTAGGGATTTAAAATGTTTAAGGATAATTAGATCGAGATTATTTCTATATTTTTGTTATAAGCTCACTTGATTCGTGTTATTGGTAACATGTTATGTTTGAGTGTACTGACATGCTAGTTTCTCTTCTATTTGTATATAATCTCATTTAAATATTACTTCTCTGTCTATATTACTTAAAATTATGTAAAAGTAATGAACAAATTTTTTGTTTTTCCAGTCATGACTCGAAGGCTCCTAGATAAGACCCTTATTCATCGTCTGGTGTCGTTTAAAGCCCTTTAAATCTGCACTGAAACTTTAACCGTTTGGTTCCCATTGAAGTCCATTATATGGAGAAAATCCTGTTTTCATCAAAAGCCTATTTCTTTTCGACTGAAGAAAGAATGGTATGGACATCTTGGATAACATGGGGGTGAGTAAATTATCAGCAAAAGTTTTTGGTTTTTTTAAGTGAACTACTCCTTTAAGTGTGTTTAAATTACTTTTTTCCCCCTCAATTTCTGAATGTGATACTGCTTTCAGATCCGGGTTTACTTCATGTATGCGTTTCCTCCATTACTTTTATTTGTTCCTTTGCCTAATTTGTTTCTTTGTGTAGTATGTGTATGGCTGTGTTCGTGTGTGTATTTGGTGTGTTTTACCTGACAGTTCACATTGCAGTAGAATGCTTTTTTGCACTTTCCACATCTTGCAAGACCCTTTTTCCTGTATATGATAAATAAAAACTCAAATATCCACCAATGATCACTAAAACTCTCCATGATAAAAATGTGTGCGTTTCATGTGAAGAGACAGTCATTGTTACTATATGAAAATGTAACTTGTTCATTTACACATTGATTCACTCTGTAATACGATTCATTGAGAACTGAGCGAACCTGTAACAGAACACAGTGGAGAAGAGCCATAAACTGAAGCAGCTGTCAGGATAAGTGTGCTACTTTTAACAGGAACTGTCACTTACACCCACTGATCCTGGCCAGAGCAAATGTCCTGAGGTTTTGGCCAGCTGCTTTGGAGATGTTGGGTTGTATTTTTAGATGTGTCCTTCTGGAGCTTATCTATACTGTTCATGAATCAAAACGGCAAATGTACTGTGACTATAGTATTTGTCTGTAGTGTGTATTTTAGACTAGTAGCCTATGTATTTGCCCCAGGCATGCCTAGTCTATTTCACACTAAAATCTAAAGAAAAAGAGGCAGATAAGATTGAATTCAAACATCTCTCTCTCTCTCTCAAAGTTATGTTGTTATATTGTAATATACTCATGCTGTTAAATCCAATTTATCAGACATTAATTGAGGACTTTATTAGAAAACAATTATCAATACTAGCAAAGTAGACTAAAATGTAAGAACCAAGATGACATGACAACTAAAACTCGTGAAGTCTTACCTTGTAAAGCACTGTTCACAGATGAGTCCTCTCTCATTGACTGACAGCACGTATGAATACGCAGGACAGGAGAACAGCAGTTCACCGACTGCATAAGCTCTGCTCACCCGCAGTCCTCTGCCCTTCCCCGGGCTGGCGAACTGCTCAATGCCCGCGATGCCCTCCGACTTCATCGTGACACGGAAATCTGGTATTTAATCGTAGCCTGCACCGGAGTTTTGAGATTTCTGAGAGATTTTTGTTTTCATTGGGCAGAGCAAATATGAATATTCATGAGTTTCCTCAGATATGCACGTGTATTTTAGTCCAAGCTCCTCGAATCACAGCTCGCCTCTCTGGAACTGTGAGCGACAAAGACGGGTCTGTCTGCGTCCCGCTGCACTACAAACCACGCCCTGAGACACTCCTACTACAAGTTACGCCTCCCGCGAAGAAACCAGCGTGGATGTCATTGATTAAAACAATTAAGTAAATTAATTTTTATTTATATATTTTATTCATGAAATGTTTGTAAGACGAGGTTATATTGCTTTCGAATCTTATTAGGTTTGAAATAACTAAATTAATAATTAAATCATAGTACAATATAACAATATCAAATTAAATTAAAGTAGTAGTTCACTTTTTAAAAAAAAAAACTTTTGCTGATAACTTACTCTCCCCCATGTCATCCAAGATGTCCATGTCTTTCTTTCTTCAGTCGAAAAGAAATGAAGGTTTTTGATGAAAACATTCCAGCATTTTTCTCCATATAATGGACTTCAATGGGGTCCAAACGGTTCAAGGTCCAAATGAGAGTTTCAGTGCAGCTTCAAAGAGCTTTAAACGACATAATATGAATATAAGGGTCTTATCAAGCGAAACGATCGCTCATTTAAAAAAAATTAAAAAATTTAAGTTTTATAAGCTCAGATGCTGGCCTTGCTCTGTTCTGTGATGCACGTTCGAACTCGTTCATCAAAACGAACAAATCTTTTTTTTCCAAGTCATCACTCAAAGGGTCCTAGATAAGACCCTTATTCATCGTCTGGTGTCGTTTAAAGCCCTTTAAAGCTGCACTGAAACTTGAACCGTTTGGCTCCCAAAGAAGTCCATTATATGGATAAAATCCTGGAATGTTTTCATCAAAAACCTTAATTTCTTTTCGACTGAAGAAAGAAAGACGTGGGTATCTTGGATGACATGGGGGTGAGTAAATTATAAGCAAAAGTTTTTTTTGTTTTTTTTAAAGGGAACTACTCCTTTAATAGCCTTAACCCTTAACATTCCTTAACATTCTTCAAAATATCTTCTTTTGTGTTATTTGGAAGCCAATGACGGCACACGTTAAGGCAGACGCTATACCTGATGCATTCACTACCTTTGGAAACAAGTATATATCCAGAATAAAAAAAAGCATAAGAAACATCATGAACATGATCTGAAGATTATTTTTATTTCACTGTTGTCAAAGACATCAAATCAATGTTGACCTTGAGTGTCAAATAATATCCTACTTGTAGTTATGTTGTGAATCTGTACAGTAATGCACAGGACTGTTTTAAAACTTTATACGGTTGTTTCCCCTTTCCAAAAAAACGTCCAAAAAGAATATTTACATGCAGTTGAAACAATGACATCAAAGTTTACGCAACTTCTATGGTCTGAAGATATACAAAATACACAACTTAAGACATTCTGTACCAAAGGTCTAAAATCAATAACAGAACCACAATAATGCCAAAGAATCAAATCCAGTGTTCTGCACTACAAACATACTATTCCACCATCCGCTCCTCCTGCCAAGGAACACAACCTGCAGGCGAGACAAAATAGTCACACAGAAGGTTTCGTTGGATTTTGGCCGTATCTGATGCACCGCTTTCCCCTCTTTGCTCCGCCGGCTGGAAAGACCCACTTCCTTGCTTCCTCCAGGTTCCCTCAACTAAGCTGTGATCCTCGTTCTCCCAATCCGCAAAGCCTGGAGGTGTGTACGCCTCAGACCTGCGCTCGCGGAGGAAGTTATGGATGCATAGCGAGGCCATAGTTATCTTAACCACCTTGTCTGGCTCCAAATATATGGTGTTCCTGAAAACCCTTAACCTGTTGGCAAGAATGCCGAAAGCGTTTTCTGGCGCTCTACGTGCCCTTGATAGACGACAGTTCAGTACCTGTTGACTGCGGTCCGTCTGCCTGCATGGATACGGCGTCATGAGATCTGGCCTTAAAGGATATGCCTCATCACCCACAAACATGTACGGCATCTTTACGTCACTGTTGGGCAAGGGTTCAGGTGGAGGAAAGCTCAGCAAACCCCGATCCATGGCTTTGCACAAGTCCGAGTGAGCGAACAGTCCAGCATCAGAGACGCTGGCCTGGGTTCCCACGCTGGCATAGATGAACTTGTAATTTGCATCTACCGCAGCCATGATCGTCACAGAGAATCTGCCCTTGTAATTCTGCTCAAGGCTCACACTCTTTGCTGGAGGCTGTAAAAAGATCCGTTTTCCACCAAGCACACCGAGGCAATGTGGAAACTGCCATTTCGATTCAAAGTCTTGGGCTATTGTCCGCCATTCTGCCTCTGTTGATGGTGTCTAGCAACAGAAAAGAATAAGACTTAGCACTTATTCTAATATTTGTATTATGAGGTATTTATGATATTTGTGTATATAAAATATGTTTTGCACCATGTGGATACCTCGTGGTCATGACAGCATAATAAACGCATTACATTCCTTAGAATACGTAACAAAAATAAATGTTTATTCATCCCATCCCAAGTCTTTTAAATCCATTCATTTTTTTGTTTTGGTATTTCTGTATAATATAGGCGAATCATTGTTATATTTTATTTTCCCCTTCAATACATGTTCTTCTTTAGCCAATTAGCACTTTGTACAATATTTTTTAATAAATATTCTGTGCATGTTTTGGTTATACTGTAAATAAATGTCTTGACAATCATGCCGGTAAAGCTTTGGTTTTACTGTATATGACTCTTTCTGTAGGCCTATACAGACTTCACTTAATAGGAATTTACAGTAACACTTATTCAACCCTCTATGGATTGTTATATAAGACTATACTATTAAATTTCACTTAGACTAATCATTAATCAGGTATTATAGTAAGGATAACTGTAAAGGTACAATTAGTGGGGTTTGTGAATGAATCGTGTAAGTAAATGAATCATTTCATTCATGTTCATCGTTTTGTTTGTTTAGAATTCACTCTTTTTATTGAATCTGTTGACAAGGATATGAAATTAATTTGAAAATAGAAATATACATAACAAATACTAAATGTGCAAGAAACAATCAGTGTATGGATTTAGAAGACTGTGGGACGAGATGAATACAAATGTTTTTGTAAACTTATATTACTTGATGTTAATACATAGCATTCAAATGAGGTTGAAATATTTTTTTTATTCATTTGTTTCAAGAATGTCTATAGGTTTGTGTGATATAATATAGCCATGCCTTAAAGGGGACATTTGATGTAATTTTCACCTTTCACCTTTTTGCATTTAGTTAGGTGTGAGCCAACTCTGAAAAGAAAACAAGTTAAAAAAAACAACAACAACAACAACAAAAAAAACAGTTCTAACCAACTGAGAACTGGTTGGGAAAAAAACAAAAAACAACAACAAAAAAAAAACAAAAAACTGAAAAGCAACTGAAAAGAAAGCCAGTTCTAAAAGTCCATTTATTATGGGCTGTCTGAGTCTGAAACGATGTAATCCAGCGAGCGGTTTCAATTTGCGGTTTCTACGCAGCTAGCTATTTGTATAAGACCACCTCCGAGACACAGTCGCCTTAAATGTCTTTAGTCCACCCCCTTCCCATTCGTTTTGTACAAAAGTAGCGAAGCTAGCTAACGAAGGAGCATTTCGTTTTAGCAAGTGTTGGACAATGAAGCGATGCTGCATGCAAAACCTGCTCTGTGTCTGGTTGTAAAGACTCTCATGCTACGTTCACACCGGATGCGAATAGCGCGTCAGGCGCGAATGATTTTAATGTTAAGTCAATGCAAAGACGCTTTACGAGCGTGAAAAATTCCTGCGGCGCGAATGAGGCGTGGAGCGAGGCGCGGAAGACGCGAATACGCCTCATTCGCGCGTCAAGTTCGCGCGAAAGGCGCGAATTGAGCGTCTGGCGCGTTAAGCGCGTTACGCGCGAATGATTCAGTTAGTGCCATTTGTGCATTCACGCGTTTGACGCGAATTCGCGTCTGCCGCCCGAGTTGAAAAATCTGAACTTTGGCGTCAATTCGCGCCGCGTTAACGAATCAGGAGCCTAGCTGCTTGCTCACGTGGTGAAGTGTCTGGATGCTTCAATAAATTATTTTGTTAATATGACTAAATGCATGGTGGGATTATGCACAACAAAGCAAATGTTTTATCACTTAAAACATTATTTCTATATACGAGACATGTTCATTTTGTATTGAATGTTATTCATTCCATAGCTAGATTATATGAAATAGTATTATGTTGTAAAGACAATCAACATATGTGCATAAATTCGTGTCTGGACGTGAGAGAGAGAAAAAAAAAAAAAATCACAGGACAGATTAATAACTTTTGAAGGCTGGCTCTATTTATCATCAAAACAAAAAATAAATGACAGCTAGATTAGATGGATGAGGGCGAGGGTTATCCTCGCTCCGATGCGGGACAACATGTCATCAAACTGGGCGCGGGACAGGCGGAAGTACCGCTGACAGCGGCCGTCATCCAGCGCAGCTCCTGGAGCGAGCAAATGGTGAAACTCGCCAAACGGTTCGGCTCTGAAGGGTCCGGTGGACACAAATATACGGCGACGATGATCCCCACGTCGCTGTTCTGCTCTCCAGAGTAAATACAGAGCGGTAACTCTCTTGATGAATGCTCGGTCGACATAAAAACAATGGCCGCCAACGGATTTCGATTCTGACGCGCGTAAATTTCGCTTCAAACTTTTGTTTTTACGCGCGCCAGTTTCGCTCTTGACACTCGAATTAACACAAAGTGGTCAAGCGTCAAACTAGACGCGTCAGGCGCGAATTTGACGCGCGATTCGCGTCCGGTGTGAACGTAGCATCAGGCATGCTTACACCGAATCCCAGCCTCAGAGGAAATGAAAGCAAAACAGCTTCAGTTTATATTTGAAGAAAATGTCCCAGAAAGAGTGCAGAAACTTGCTTACAGGTGTGTGCCAAACTCTTTTCGCTGAATACAAAGCTGCAAGTTGTATTTAAAATATGGAGCTGTGCCATCAATTCGTCACAAATCCCTGGTGTTAAATTTAACACCGCTCGGTGTTTATATGGGAACCAGCAGCAGGGTATTAAAAGTAACACTAATGTGGTGTTAGAGTTAATGAGATAATGAAGTGATTAATTGAGTGATGATTGAGGACTGAAGACACCCAATGATAACAAGCAGAGTCACTGAAGAAAAGAGAAACACAAGAACAACAACTGACTTCCGGAGATG